AAGTAGGGACCTGCCCTGAGACTCTCAGTGAGCCTCGATCTCCCCTTTACCCTGGCCTTCTCATCCTCGGGTCATAGTTGGGCCTGTTCCCTGAGAGGGGCTTGGGCTCAGATGCCCCAGGCACATTCTGGCCCCACCTCCTGTGTCTTTTGCATTACTGGGAAACCACAGAGTCTGAATTTCACCAGAAAATGCCTGGCTGCCCTGTGGGCTGTCACCGCCTGCCTGCTTGTGGGCTGCCCAGGAGTGTCACCATGTGGTCCTGGTCCAAAGGAGCTAAATAGGACCCCAGTAAAGAGAGCCACGGGGTCCAGGACTCCGCAGCGGTTTTTCTCTTCTGGGAGGGAAGAGGGTGAGATGGATGTGAGGGTACCCCAGGGGAGCAGCTGCATGGGCACAGGCTGAGCCAGGAGAAAGCCCCAGGTGCTCCCAGGCATTTACAGGAGGGTGTGCCCAGGGCAGGGAGGTCCAGGTGGATGAATTTCCACATGAGCCTCAGAGAGGAGGCACCTCATCTGCCCTGCTCGGGCCTGGACTTGGGCCGGCACAGCCTCAGAATGTTCCTCTTCTTCTCTGCGCTCCAGGCCGTGCACAGGGCGGTGCTGACCATCGATGAGAAAGGCACAGAAGCTGCTGGGAGCCCGAGTTTGGAAGACAGTCACTGGGCTACCCATCACACTATCAGATTCAACAGGCCCTTCCTAATAGTCATCAAAGAGGAATTCTCTGACTTTATCCTCTTCATAGCTAAAGTGCTTAACCCCATGCTGAGATAACTGTCTATCTGCTCCTCCCCCAAGCTCAGCCCCTCCCTCCAGGACATTAAAAAAAGGCTATGCTGAGCCTGATTTGCAAATCCTCACCAAGCTGTCTGAGTGTGTCTTAGGGCCCAGGGGACATGTGTGGGTCCAGGTCAGAATTTTCTCTCATTTCTGAACAAATGTTCCAGAGGTTCCTTCCCTGTGCTGGCAGCAGGACCCTGGGAGACACCTCATCTTAGGGCTCAGGCTAACTGATATGGTAAACTTTCAGGCCTGTCTGTAAACCCAAGGTGGATAGCAGGTCTCAGTCCCAGCCTGTGGTGGTCCCTGGCTTCACCAAACACCCACACTCTGCCTGCCATGTTCAGCCACCTTCTATTCTCACTGCCGGAGCCCTACCAGGGTGGTAAGGCCATCCCCAGGCTGCCCCACTTGTTGTTCTCAGAGTTGCCCAGCTTCCCCTCTGGCAACCAACTGCAATGTCTCCAGTTAGAGTAAAGAGAAGGCCATGTCCCTTCTTGTGCCATCTCTTTTCCTCCCCAGGCTCGAGCTGACTTCCCTGGAGTTCTCGCTCCAGAAGACTGAGCACACCTCTTACTGTTCCTTGGCATGCCGTCACTGTTCGGAAGTTCTCTCCCAGGTCATCTTGGACACAGTCATCCTTCCTGGTGCAGAGGGGGGTCCAGGTGGTGGTCTCAGACTCTCCCACTGCCCTACACCCTCCCTCATCATGAGGCCATGATGTCATGAAGGGATCTTCAAGGTCATTGCTGAGATATGTGTTATGAGAGGGGACGTCATAACATGGACCCCCTGTGGACCCCATACTCCGCATTCCTCTCCAGCTGGTGCTCTGTCTGGGGTCACATGCAACCTGCCATCTCCCTGCAGATGACCCTCCCTGTGGCCTCCAAGGAGTACACGGCTACAGCCAGGACACTGGGGAGGCTCTCAGATAAGGCCTTGAGCCACCTGGGATGATGACTCAGACAGACCTCAGGGGGGAAGGTGTAGGGACCTGGCATGGCCCGGTGAGGAAGGTCAGTTGCACATGCTCAGCTCCTCCCACGTGAAGCCCACTTTCAGACATGCTGAGAGGGTGCCAGAGCACGTGGGACTGCTGGCCTCTGAGTCACCACTGTAGCAGGTAAGCAGCAAGGGGACAGCACTGCCACTAATAGTCACCGGGCCTTCTGCCCTCAGTCAGAGCTGCATTTCCAGATGCAACGTGCTCACCTCCGAGGTTAATGGGGCCACAGTGAGCATGACCTTGTGAGCAATCGCAGGTGCGGGACTTGTGCTGTGCCTTTGTGTTATTGAACGCACACACGCACACACACACAGACTTACACACACTCACACACACACACACTTACACACACACACACACACACACACACACAAACACAGTGGGTGACCTCAGTTAGACAACCAAAATTGCAGTCCATGTAAGAAGAAAGAACAGAAATATCCCACAGTTTTTCTTACTGTGAAACGCTAAGGAGGTTAAAAAAATTTTTAAAAACCCTGTTAGTTCAGCAGAACAGGATCTAATGTGCAGGGACTTCTAAAGGCTGATGTGCCCACATGTGCAAAGTGTCTTCCATTCTGGCACTCAGCAGGCATCCATCAAGTCTGGGGGAACCAAAGGTGAAGTGTTGAGACATGAGCGTTCCCTGGCCTGGACACACGGACAGAACTTTAACAGAGCAAACGGACTGACCTACATGCGTTACGGACCAGGACCACGTACGGCTCAGATGGCCTCGCACCAGTCGGTTCTTGGGTTGAGCCAATGCAGGGAAGAATGGCAAGGACCTCAGGGGCCAATAGCCATGCTCGAGGCAACCCATGCCCTGGTTCTAGAGGGGACCTCTGGCTTATGTCCTGGACATGGCTCACTGGTCACATAGGAACTCAGTGTCTTGTTGCTCTCAAAGCTGCCAGCTCCTGCCTCATCATTCAGCTGCAGTGCCTCCAGCAAGGGTAGAGAGAAGGCCATGCACCTCCTCGTTCCACCTTGTCAGCTCCCAGGCATGGGCCGATTTCCCTGGAGCCTGATTCTGGGAGGCTGGAGTGGGAATATGTGCCAACATGAAGCAGGTCCTGTCCAGCAACCTCTCCACTGAACCCACTCTTCTGGCAAAGACTCATTCTTGGCCACCTCCTCCTGAGCTGAGGCTGGTATAAGTGATGGGATTACTTTCTTGCTTCTGATCTCCTCTAAACAGGAGGGCACCTGGGCAGGTATAGTTTCAGCTCCTTGGCCAGCCAGGATTTGCTCCCTGGCAGCTGAGCCTTCTCTTTCCTCTGGGCAGGGCCAGGTGGGAGGATGGAATCATGTCTTCAAAAGCGCAGCACAAGATTGGTCTCTACACATGGTACTTCCTGGGGCAAGAACTGGCTATTGTCACCAATACCCCTGTCTTGCCCTCCTGTCATTACCTGGGTCCTCCATCTGCACAGGCAGGAAGTAGTCAGCTCTTTCATAGCAGCCCCCCACCCCCGCTTGTCTTCTTGAGCCTCCTCTGCATCAGGTGCCTTTTTTCTTATCCAGTACCTTTGACATTCCAGCCCAAGACAGGCTGAGACCCCAGCGTATAGAGCCCATGTCCCATCCTTTCCCATCTCAATGGGATAGGAATGACCTTCAGTGCTCACCCATCACAGCAGTTACCCAGCATTCTGGAGAGTGATTCCTCTTCATCTCCCTCTGCTCTCTGAGCCACATCTCCTTCCATAGTGGACCCTCTGCCCAGATCCCTTGGGTACACTCCGTGCCTGAAACGGAGATAGGAGTTCGTTAACTCCTCTGACAACCTGGCAACCTTTCCTTCCATGTCCTTTCTCTTTCTTATATGGGATCTGGCCCCAACTTCTGTCTCTCAGAACCCTCCCCAGTGATCTCGCTTGTGTCTCCTGTTCTGTCGTTCACATAGTATAAAGAGTATCTATTTCCAAAGAAAATGTCGCAGATACGGAGAACCAGCAAAGACAGAGAAGGACCTCTCCAGAAGTATCTGGACAACTAACTGAATGCTTAGAGTTTTGTAGGAGAGAAGTCGACAATGAGGACCTTGGTGAAGCAAGGACCGGCCAGGTGGACCAGAGGAAAAGCTCAGGGTCTCCCCTGTCATGAAGGATAGAGTGACTTCCAGCCCAAGGTAAATGATAGTGTTGGGACCTCTGGGTGAATCAACCATAAAATATACATAACATAAATGTTCTAGAAGGAAGCATAGGTTCGTTGATTTCTTGATTTTCTAAACGAGGCTGTAAACCCAGATGTTATAAAAGCAAGGATTACTATACTTGACTTACTTTTAACATTTTTTGACTTAATAAAATGCAAATCATTTGGCAAAAAACGAAGTCATCAAATTTACTATGAACGGTTCACAATGATAAATAAATATGCACTAAACTCCAGAAGTCCTCTGTGTATGAAGGGAACATTGACCAAATACAAGGGAGAAAGAGACAGAAATCTGATAACAGCAGAATGCAGTACCCCTCTTTCCATAATCATTAAAACAACCAGATGGAAGATTAACGAAAACCAGATGACTTCAACAACACTATAGGCCAATTTGACCTCACAGACACATATAGAATACTTGATTCAACAATAGCAGAATACCCATTTTTTTCCCTCAATTTCACATGGAACATTTCCCAGGACAGACCATATGTTAGGCTGCATTTACTCTACGGAATACTACTCAGCCATAAAAAACAACAAGACCCTGACTTTTGACAGAGAGTGGATGAATATGTAAGATTTACTGCTGAGTGAAGCAAGTGAGGCTATGAAGGAGAGACATTGTATATCCCCACCTATTATATACTGAGTGTCCCTACTCTATGATTTAACTGAATGACTAAAGGATATAGGCACACAGTAAATGGTACTGAATACTAGATATCATGTGGGAAGAGGGTGAGTGAAGAGGTAGAGTCTGAGGAAGGACATCTAGAAGAAAAATAGAGAGGCAAAGCATTAATGAGACAAAGAAATGGGGTATTATCTGTTATAGATAACTTTATGGTACTATCAACTGGACTAGGGAGAAATGCACACATGTTGGAATATTCGCTTTGCAAGCTAAATAACGTGATTGAATTTATAAAAGAGCTTGAAATAAAAAAAAATTTAAAAAAAGAAATATAGGAAATTAAGAAAATGTCTCTCCCCCAATGGGAAAGAACCAGCCCTTCATCATCTACAGACAGTAAAATGGAATGTGTGGAAATATCAGATAAAGAATTTAGGATATTCATAGTGACAAAGCTAACAGAGATGAAAGAGAAGAGAAACAACGAACTCCAGAATGCAGAAGAAAAGACACGAGTTCCAGGAGGTGAGGAAGTTCTTCCACGATCTGAAGGAGGAAACACACACCATATAAAAGAATCAAATGGAACTGTTAGAGATGAAGGCTGTAATACAGGAAATAATAAACCTCCCTTGAAAGTATTAAAAGCAGATTAGATTATGCAGAAGATGAAATCTCAGATGTAGAAGATAGAACCTCAGACCTAGAAAAATTCACCAAAAAGACTGAGAAAATACCTCCCCCCAAAATGAGAATAATATATGAATAATACTAGATAATCATTCGGTGCCCAGACATATGGATCATCAGTATCCCAGAAGGTGAAGAAACTAATCCGGGCGATAATCTATTCCATGAAATTCTGGAAGGAAATTTTCCAAAGCTAGAGAGGCATTGGAATATCCAGACCCAAGAAATACAAAGGACTCCACATAGAATCAACCCAAGAAGATCTCCAAGGCACATCATAGCCAGAATGACCAAAACCACAGAGACAAGATAATAAAATTGGCAAGAGAAAACATCAAGTTACTTTTAAAGGATCTCCCATCAGGCTAACATCGGACCTCTCATTGGAAACAGTGCAAGCAAGGAAAAAATGGGAAAATATATTTAAAGTCTTAATTCAAAACTAATTTCAACCAAAAATACTATATCCTGCAAGATTATCCTTCATATGGGAAGAAAATATAAAACTATTCTCAGATAAACAAAACCTGAAAGAATTTACCAACACTAGATGAACTCTTCGAGAAATTCTGAAG